AAAGCTCTTCAATCGATGCATTCATCTAATTCATGAAAAATAAAATTAAATAATTAATATATAATAAACCATATTATATTATATAATAAAAATTTAATATATTAAACAAAATTTAGTATTCGGATAATACCTCTCAAATTGATACATCCAACGAAATTGCACTGGTCCCCCCACCTTGGCTTCATATGAAAGGTGAATTGCTAGATGCTCCATCGAATCAAAAAAAGAAGGAGGGAAGATTCTTTCAAGTTGGCATATTGTTTCTACAATCTTCCCTTGCCAAATCTCCATATCTGTAACTCGAATGGTTGGAGAACATAAGGCTCTAAAAAACTCACTAATCTCAGTAAGTGCTTCCTAAACTTGTTTTGGGAGAAAATCACAGAATGCAATTGGAAGGAGACTTTGCATGAATATGTGACAATCATGACTCTTCATCCCACTAACTTTCACCTCTTGCCTATTCACACATCGAGAGATGTTGGATGCAAAACCATCAGAAAATCTAAGATTCTTTAGCCACTGGCATACAGATTTTCTTTGCTCCCTGTTTAAGACATTAGTGGCAATCGGTTTTTTACCCACATTAGAGCCTATTTTTGGTATACAAAGACTTGGCCTGTTACAATACAATTCCATATCCATCATTGCCTTCAAGTTGTCCTTCGTCAATGGGTCATCCATGACAGTGTGAAAGATATTATCAAAAAAAATTTTCTCACAGTGCATTACATCAATGTTATGACGGATTAAGTTTGTGCTCCAATAAGGAAGCTCCCAAAAGATACTCTGTTTAACCTAGTTATGCCAATGACCAAATCTTTCAATCACTTGCCTTTGGGATGGCTTCCCAAATAGTATATCAGGCAATTGCTGCATTTGTCGATGCATATCATCACCTGATAATCTCTCTGGTGGAGCTCGATTCTCTACATGGCCTTTTTTAAATTCACTAATATTTCTCCTGAATGGATGGTTGGGAGGTAAAAACTGTCGGTGACAATCAAAAAATGAAATCTTTCGACCATTTGGAAGGTGGAATGCCTTAGAATTTTCTTGACAATACGGACATGACAATCTACCGTGTATGCTCCATCCAGATAACATACCATATCCAGGGAAGTCAGTAATTGTCCACATAAGTGCTGCTCTCATAATGAAATGTTCATGCCTAAAACTATCATATGTCTTCACCCCATTATACCAAAGTTCCTTTAATTCATCAATCAGTGGCCGTAGCAAAACATCAATGTTTTTTCCAGGACTTTGAGGACCTTGTATTATCAAAGAAAGAAAGATGGACTTCGATTTCATACACATTGCTGAAGGCAGGTTGTAGACAGTCAAAAATACATGCCAACATGAATACGGGGCGGATGTATGCCGAAATGGAGTGAACCCATCTGTGCACAATCCAAGCCTGACATTCCTTGGATCTGATGCAAAGTCGGGGTAGGTGCGATCGAAGTGTTTCCATGCCTCAGCACCGGCAAGATGCATAATCTTTTCAGATACACCACCACAATTCAAGTGCCATATCATGTGTTTAGCAGTTTTTCTACACTTAAAACCTTTTGAGTCTAGGTGTAATTGGGAGATACCACAATGACTTCCTTGGTATATGTTGATTTTGTTGCACATGTCCATGTTTATAACGAGGTTCACCACATATTGGACAGGCGATGTAGTTTTTGTTTTCATATTCACCATAATACAAGAAGCAGTTATTAACACAAACATCATACTTCTTATAACCCAGACTGAAGTGCTTCATCATCTTTTTAGCACTGTAAAAATCTTTTGGAATTCTATCCTGATCCTCTGGCTTCATCCATCTTCTGGTACACTTTAACATATAATCCCAATTAGCCACACTCATATTATAGAGTGTCTTTGCGTTCAAAAAATGAGACACCCACTTTAGTATTGTATCACCATCATCACATCCATCATAAAGTGGCATGTCAGCAGCTTGTAGAAGATCAAAAAATTCCTTTGCATCTCCCATTGCCTCCTCAAAGATTGGCTCATCACTGGCTTGTTCATTCATATTATATTCCATACCGTGTAAATTTGCATCCATAACCATATCTCTAATTGGATCATTACATTGTTCTTCCATCACAAATGGAGTTGCACTAGAGGATTCCCCCAATTGATGACGTTGTCACCTTCGTAGTGGCTGCTCTTCGTGTGCAAGCCAAACTATATACCCATTCATAAAACCCTGTTTTGTCAAATGACATTGCACAGTAACACGACGATGCCATTCTTGGTTCATACATTTACTGCAGGGACACTTAATTTGATTTCTACAACAAACTTTGGATTGGACTGGGAAAATGCATAATCCAGGAAAGACTCCACACCAATTTTGAATTCATCAGTATAACAGCCATTATCATCTAAACGATGATACATCCAACTTCGATCTCCCATCATGTGAAATATTTCCTTAAATTTATATTAAAAATATTGATCTCTGCACACAATAAATAATAAATCTACTTTAATAATAGTTACATAAAAACTAAAAAATTAAAATAATCACAATTTACCAATCATTTAATTAATATCTTTAATAACTTAGAAATCAATTAAATAGTATAATCATAATTTACTTATCAATTAAATTATTATGTAAATATGATTTATTAATCAATTAATTGATTAATTATATCTGTTTAATTAATTAAAAAATTTAATTAAGTGTAACTTAATTCTCAAATAAAGACTATAAGTATAATTGAGTAATCAATCAATTAATCAGTAAACCATAATTAATCAATCAATTAATTAACATTATGTTAAATGAGTTTAATCATAATTTATAAAGAAATCAACTAATTAATATGATT